CTTTTACAGTTGAGAGTCAAGTATTTTAAGCAGCTGGACTGCAAACAGTCTTTCCAGAAATTCAGAGTGACACTGTAAATGTTTAAGTAGTTCTTAGTTCTTTTACTAATTTCCCTGTGCTTGGTGTACCCGGGCTTTGCTTTCATCTACCCATCTATGGTGACTTCCACAGTTTTCCATAATTATGGAAGCTGTGGCCAAGAATGTCCCACAGATTCTGAGGGTCTGCAATGAAGAACTGTAAGAGGGTTTTTTACCTGATGAAATAAAAGACCCATATGTGCTTATGTCAATTGTTAGAGCTCCGGCAAGGGGGTGGAGGTGTGACAGTTTACCTAAACTGAGAGTCTGCTCCAGTTTTTTGTAGGAATAGGGTTTGCAGAGTCATCACCATTACCCCACTGAAAGACACAACCAGAAAACTCTAAAGAAGGGAGCAAGCTTACAAGCTCTGTATATCGGAGCTCTCCTTAGCAGCCCTCAGTAGGGCAGCAAAACCAGACTCCCAGATACAGAGCTGAAACGATCAGATTATTACAAGAATACAAGGTATGAATTCCAGAAAGTTCAAGCAAATTCCTTCTGCTTGTTCATATCAAGATTTATACAAATAGCCTAACACGTGGCTTGGCAAGATAATTTTCCTTCAGTTTTGCCATGTGTTTCTTCACAAACCTGTCCCCCATTAAAAAAAAAGCAGGATACCTAATAATAGAGGTCTGCATGATGTCTCAATATTTGCATGCATTGTTCTGTTGGCTGCAGTGCTACTGCAGTAAGGGCAAGGTAGTCAGAGCCAATTTGTCCATATCTGCAGAAGTGAGTTCTCAGTGCTTGGTTGTGCTATAAAGCCAGTCCCTGAGAACCCCTGATGGTAATTGTAATTCTCCTCCTCAAACCTACAGCAATGTTTAAAGCGGAGGCAGCGCAGGAACCTCCTGAACAGTTTCTTCCCCTGTTGCCTGTCAGTGATTTCACTGCAATGCCTAGAAAAGGCAAAGCAGTTCAGACTGCATCTATTTCTGGTATGAAATCCTAGTTGTGGATTCCCAGTGCTGATGTGTTTTTAAGACCCTCTGATGAATTTCTAAGCTCTCTTGGAATAACAGCTGCTGGGAGGGGACTGGAATCCCCATGGTGGATTTCAAGTTTGCAGACTTTGATGAAATCTCTAAACAACAGGGTGGGAAAGATTTTTTTTTTTTTTTTCAATCAAGAGCAGCTATGCAGGCAGAGAAGCAAACTTGTCAGTAAAGAGCTTTCCATGTCCTTGTCTCATTTTTCTGAGAAATGAAGGGTAGTATGTGGAAATCTAGCATGAATTTTGAGGGGTGGGGGCAGAGGAGTAGAGGTTTTTGTGTTCAGCTCATCTGTAGGGAGGTATCCCACATGGGGATAAAGATACAGCCTGGTACTCAGAGGTGTGTTGGTGACCCTCATAAAAGCAGTGCCTTAAGAGCCAGAGAGAGGTGGGGAGATTCCCACTGAGGACTGTGTAGTAGTGCAGAACTACTGTTGGCTTCTTTTTCCTTTTCTTTAAAGCCTATTTTTCACATATTTTAAACCTAGAAGAGACCACTGTTGTCATTGGCTAACTCCCTGTGTAACATCAAACATAGGTTGCAGCTGTGCACGGCAAAGATCTGCAGGAGAAAAAGCTTATCTGAAACAGCTTAGTAGTTGCTAGGTCACAGGCATTTCCAATTCTTTACCAGCACATGGGATAATATATAAAATACTTCTGGTGGCTCGCAACAGCATGTGAAAAGATTACACTGATGGCAATTTGTACTGTGCAGTCCCTTCTCTCCTGCTTTGCCTTGTCAGTGTAGCAGTTCACTAACAGTAGGCAGTGTTAGGACTATAGTCTAGCCACTGATGAAAGAGCACTGAATGCCTTAAGATGGTGAATACCATCAAACGTGAAAACTGTAACCAGTGTCATTTAATGGCATGGGATATTGCTGCTGTCTGAGGATCAGCACTCCATCATGTTAATGTCTTGACCGCCATTTAATTTTCCACTAGGGTCAAAGTTAAATATTTTTAATTGCACACAGCATTAGCACAGTTAGCCAAGCAATCAGGGCTTGAAATAAGTTTGTGATACAGTCTCCATGGTTAAAACTACCTTCACCAGAACTATATAACGGTCAACACCTGGATGCTTTTCTGGTACACTACAAGATCCATTATATGAAAGGTCTACTGCTTGCTGTATCTGTGAAGATGGTCACACTGCAGATGTTGTTAAGGAATTTAGCATTGATTAGTTCCACAAAATATTTGACATACTCTACACAAAACTTAGGTTCCTTGGCCAGTTCCTGGAGATGTGACCTGACAGTGAGCAAATGAAAGCATGTCCCTGGGATTCTTCTGGCTAAAATGATTTTGATAATCTGCCTCATGTGAGCCGCAGATAACACATCACATAAGCATGCTCACTGAGCCCGTTTTCTATCATCACTTAGTTTAGCTTGATATTGCCTAAATTTCCAGTAACTTTTACAATGTTTATTGCCTCCTCAAGGGAAAGTAAGACCCTTGCACCTCCTGGGTGCCTGGTGAGAGGCTACACAGACCAGGACTCTTCAGTTTGGAGAGGAAAAGGCTGAGAGCAAAGAGTAATGTTTACAAAATCATGAAGGGAATGTATCAGGTGAATGAGGAACTATTATTCACCTGTTACTCAACAGTTACAGCACAATGATTTGGAGGTATTCAATTAAACTAATAGGAGATTGGTTTGAAACTGGTAGAAGAAAGTTCTTTTTTACACAGAGAGTAATGAACTTCCAGAATTTGTTGTCATAGGAGACTATGGAGGCAGGGTCAAAGCAGGGTTAGGCAAATTCAGGGACAGGAGGCCTATAAGCAGATATTAAAGGTAGTACGCAGGCTAGTACCTTCTAATATCCCTAATCCAGTGATTGTGGTTGTTAGGGGAAAACAAGGGGATCAGACTGCACAAAGTGGCCAGGAAGACATGTACTCGCTAGATGGTATTTCTCGCTGCCACTGTCATAGAGAAGATAGTGGCATAGCTGTACCCGGTCTGCTATATCCATGTTCTTGTGTTCTTACATTAGCTGGAGAATCAGACAGGTCAGACACTGTCTCTCAAACCCAAAAGATAGCGTGCATTTTCCAAGACCTTCCACTCTCTCCAAAATGTAAAGCATTCATTCTCATACTTTTGCCCACTTCCTTTATAAACTGCTTCATATTGGCCAAACAGAAATAGCTTAAATAGAAGATGTCAGTCCTCTGTGGTGAATGGTTTAGTAATCTTACAGTTCCTCAGCTCCCCACAACTATGGACTTCTCCAGAGTAACCCCTTTCCTCCCTGTACAAGGGGGAAGGGTTTCCAGTCTTACTGTAAAAGCAGGAAGTTTAGGAGAAACAAGCTGAGATTCTAGTCAGGGATGCTTTTGTCTTGGCCAGTCAAAAGAAACATTAGTACGTACCCAGGCTAATAATTTGAAGAAAATGGTTATATTATTTTCTGTCCCTTCACATCACTGCATCAGAGTGTAGTTACCTACTGTTGAGTTATTGGTGAAACAGCAGCAGAATGATTAAGGAAATCAAGAGGCAAAACCACGCAAAATATGTTAGTTATCAGCAAAGTAATTGAATAGCGTTTAAGCAAATGAAACAGACACAGGCATGCAAAATATTACAAAGGATTATAATAACGGTAGCAGAGAGTGGAGGTTTCCAAGTGATTACATTCCAAGTCACCCGACTACATTCAGTACCGGCAAACAGAGGACTTTTCATCACTACCCTACTTCAAGGAACCACAACAAGAGGGGACAGTCACCCCAGAGGTACCAGGGTTTCCCAAAGAATGGGAAATTATAAATGAGAGTGTGGGGAGGAAGGCTTCAGAGAGGGAGAAAACAAACTCAAATTCTGAACTCTCTTAGATGGCTAACAAGCTGTATTTCATAAAAGGGAAAACTTTTAAGCCTGTTGTGGTTCAGTGGTTACAACAGCAGGCAGAGCAAAAATGCAATATATAATACTGAAAATAATTTTAAGAATGGGGAGGGAATAAAAGTATAAAACTGATTTGCAAAATGGGGAAAAGTGATAAAGCCAAGCTGAAGACTACAGGAAGAAAGTCACGGACTGGTTTAAAAAGAAATGCAGATTTCCTAAAATGTATTTGTAAAGCAGGAATTCCTGGTGACGGTGTAAGATCTTTTGTTAGATGGAGATAGTACATCTAAAATGATGTGGGGAAGGACAAAGGTTTTACTGATTTGGATCTGGGAAGGAAGAAGATGATGGAGATGGCAACACTGAAATATTTTCTAATTCATTAGCAAAAAAGGAGAATTTTTAGTAAACACAGGCTAGACAACTGAAAGAACTCGTCTTCCCATGGTACGCCAGAACACCCCACATGAGCGTGGATGACCTCCCTTCCCCCAGCGCAGCCTCCAGCTCCACTTCCATCCCCACTCAGCCACGGGCTCACTGCAGAGCTGCCGCCGGGTGCCCGCGCGCCAGGGCCGTGCCCGGGGCACCCTTGTCCTCAGCGACTGCTCCTGTCCTCAGCAGCAGCGAGCGCCCAGTGTCTGCCCAGCAACTGGGGGTGCGTAGCCCCGCGCTCCCCTCGGGGCCCATCCATTGCTCGGCCAGCTCTGGTCTTAGCAAGGGGGGCCGTGGTCGGCCACCGTGACCCGCTGAGGGGATCGCACCCGTCAAAAACGAGCGGTCCCCTCCGACTGCCCCGTCGTGGCCTGGTTCATCAGCAGTTTGTGCTGCTCGCTGGGGCCGCGGCGCTTGGGTCCCTCTCCCCGCCGCTGGCTGAGCGGTGGTGGCGGTGGCGCCTTGCCCTTCACGCTTCCCTCCTCTTGCTGGCTGTCCCATCCCCCGCAGCACAACCGCCCGTCCGCCCGGGGACCGGCACGCCGGGGGCTGGCTCCTGCCCCCGCCCGCTCGCCGGAGGGGGGTGGCTGGGCTGGCCCAGCAGGGGCTCCCGCGTCGCACGGGGAGCGCTGGCCCGGGGTGGCGGGGGGGGGGGGGGGGGGTGGCACGGCGGGGCCGCCCCGCTGGCTTTGCCCGCTAGAGGGCAAGAGAGCCCCGCACAAGCGCGGCGGGGCGGCTGCCCCTGCCCCGCAGCCCGCCGAGCCCAGCCGCGCACGGCCGCGGGGGGCTCCGGACACGCGGGGAGCGGCACGGCACGGCACGGCACGGCACGGCCCGCAGCCGGGCGAGGAGCCCCCCGCGGAGGGGCCTCCTGGAGCCGGCGGGGGGCCTGAGGCCTTCTGCTGGGCACCGGGAGGCGCGGGAGGAAAGGTGCTAGATGGCCACGGTGCCGTGGATGGAGAGGCAATCGCTTCCACGGGGAAAGCGAGCGAGGCCTTCGGTTGTTCCAGTAAAGCGGGCGTGGGGCCGTCACGGAGCTGGCACAGACCACCTTCTCCATCAGGGTGAAGGCTCACCGGGCTGCCGCGCCTGCCCCAGCGCAGGCAGAGGGGTAAGTGGGGGCACGCACCCACCTCCTGGGCACGGGCCGAGGGGCACCTTCTCCCTGCCCCGGGGAGGTGATGATGAGCTGGTTGCTGTCTGCATCTCCAGTTTAGCACTCTTAAGTAGCGTCCAGCAGATGTTCTGGGTATATGCCTTGGTTGGTGTATAAATGCCACCTCATCTTGCAGATAGTGAACTATCTACAAAGGAAGTATTATCAAGCAAAGGAAGAACCTCAGGGACACCCTGCAGCCTGCTGCCAAACCCTGCTGAGCCTGCAGTTGCAAATGAGCACCAACAGTATGGGAGCATGAAGAAGGCAGAAACCTCTTTGATTAAACACCGCGCATGCTTGGGCAGGGAAGGTGCACAAGGCAAAGGGTGGGCAGTGGCAGACCCGTTCTCACAGCGAGCACTCCTGTGAGCCCTGCCACACAAATCGCCTGCCAGGCGGAGGCCCCTGTGAGCGCCTGCACACATGGCAACGCTGATTTCTTCCCCTTTTCTCCTTCTAATCAATGGCACTTTGGCTCTTGAGCTGGAGGGACTTGCAACATCATGGACGATCGGTTCATTACTAAAACCAGCAGATACAAGCCATGTACAAATACATGCATCAGATAAATTTTTAAACATATTTGGCAGCTTGCACACTTACATCACCCTATCTACCTTCAAGTATCACCAACACGGACATGCATTCCTAAAGACTGTATCAACACCTGTGTGAATGCACTCGACTGTATCTGACCCACAACAGCATTATTACTTTTGTACTTAAATTAAGATATCTTAAAACATGTAGCCTGCTAACTCCCTCCCTAGGATGGTCACAAAGATCATATTCTGCCAGTGCTTATTTAACAGAGATTCACTAATTTCTATATGCGGCAAAACACCATAATGCCATAATAAATTCATGTCAGATATCTTGCTGTGGCTGCGTATCGCACGGTGACACTGATACTGGCGTTTTCTTGGAGTTTTCCATCTAAACTACATGTTTTACACTCCTTTGGTCTGAAAATTTGGTGAACTGGGAAACTTGCCCTTTTGTGTTTTCTTCTGGGATTTTTATAGGTCATTTTTTGGGTCATAAATACTGCTATTTTTTCCACAGTTTCTGAAGTGAGAAAGCAAATACATTCCTCTAGCTCAAGTTTTCTAAACTTGTAGGCACTTCTGTGTTAATCCAGTTAACCTGAATCACATGGCTAATAGGTTCTCACAAATATTTTATTTATTTCCAGGGAATCTAATGTTTCATAATCATCACTTTCAGTAACTTTTTGTTGCTGAGATGACATGAGCTTTCTTTGGAGGATTAATCTGTGCAGCTGTATTAATAGTTTAATGCCCTCACCGGCCATTCTGGGGAAATGCTGAATCATATGGATAGCGCAGCAGGTGGGATCCGTCCAGTCCTATCTAGACCTCTGCCATGTAGAAGTCTACATCTAATATAGGCTCCCTTCATACAGGAGGAAGAATTAAGCATCTTTAGAGCATGAGTCATGTCATCCTAAAGTAGACGCCTAGGATAGGGCAGATGATTTGTGCCCTAAAATTGCTCCTATTTCTCTGTGTTGAAAAACAAGTGGTTTAGATCTTGATGTCTCCATTCTAGCAGCCTCAAGTGAGGTGAGATGAATTAATACTCTTATCATACCTAGGTTTATATCATGCTTCAAAGTACCCTAAAAATTCTTACTTGTAAAGAAAACTGAAAAGATCATTGCTTTTTGTGTTATTCTTGATTTACAAAAAAGCAACTTTTAAAAGTTTGCTGACAAGACATTTTAGTAAAAATGGCAAATGCCATGTGTTTCACAGGAAAGTTGTAGCACCTCTCTTTTTAATAATCTAAGTCTTCCAGTTCTCCATCTGCAAGGTTGGGAAATAGATTAGTTAGATACACTGTAGCTCCAGAATAGGATCCTGTACTTTTGGTGAAATTATGTAATCTGGGGAATGAAAAAAAAATTTTTTTCTTATGGCAGGCTGATTTATTTTTTTAAATGACACACAAAAATCGATATGTGAAAAGTTCATGTAAAGCTGAACTGCTGAAAAGCAGAGTACAGGTAAAACAGCTTTTTTTTAAAAAAAAAAAAAAAAAAGTCATAATGTCTAAACCTTGCCAGAGGTGTCACATCAGTGTGGTACGTGGTACGTGTGAGGAGAATGTGTGCCAGGAACTCCTCAGGAAATGCAGGATCCTTCTGACCAGCTCTGCTCGCAGGAGTTAAAATCCTGCATAAAGCTGATGAGTAAGCTCTTGATGACTCACTGTGTCAGATGCAGTCTTTAATTCCAGGAGGGTATAAGGGAAGTGGGTGTGAATCTCGAGTAGAGGGGAGCTCGGAGTAGGGATGTTCCTGCCTCAGTGTCTTGGGGATAAAAGTGTAGGTTTTTAATACAGCCCCAGCTATCAGTAAAGCCAAACTTCTGTAAGGAGTAAGTTTGACATTACACATCACACAGATTTTATGTGAAGCAGGGTTGGAACACCACCTACTCACAGATGGGTATAATTTTGGGGATGTCCTGCATAATTCATGTGTGGCTTTGATACTTATGAGTAATTCAGACATCAAAGCATCAACTTAGATAACACTTTTATAACGCTAAACTTCCTATAGCAAATAATCTGTGGGCTTTAATTTAAATTGCTTTTTTTTAAAAAAAAAAAAAAAAAGGCAAATACACCAATACTTTCTTCTTTACTTTCAGATATTTTTCGTAAGGTATGCTGGTATGAAGTATAAGATAGAAAATACTGAAGCCTGCACTAGAGAAAAAATTAAAATTCAGTATAATACTCCTCACTGGGACTAGAAATGTAAATTTTAAAGCACTGGAAAGGAGCCGGGAGCCTCTTTCCCAGTTGTTTCTAGACTGGGAGCACACCAGATATCAGGCCCTTCAGTCACTCTGTAATATTCCCTCTGCTTTGCCAGTGGCACAAACCTTCATTTTTCAACAGTCCAGTTTCCTAACAAGCAATTTTATGTTCTCATCCGAGTTAGCCATTACTCATGGAAAAACCTTCCCATTAATAGCCATAAAGCTCCTTCATTGTTCTCCTTCAAATCTCCTTAAAACTTCCTTCTGACACCAAACACTTGTCATTGGCCAGGCCTGTTGCTTTTTATTCTCAAGGCTGCTTTTCCCTTATCCTTCCCCCATGGGTCTGTAGTATACACCTGTTGTCTTTCATCATGGGTTAAGATCATAAGCTCTTTGGGCATAGACCATCTCTCTTATTACATGTGTCTACAGTATCCGACACAATGGGACTGTGAGCCCTAAGCGGGGCCTCTGGGTACTGCCATGATCCAGTTGATAAAGAATAATGATTTTTGACATGGTGAGTCCTGCAGTTTTTCCCAAGTCATTCTGCAGTTGTTCACGCTGATATAACCGGTGTATGTGTGTAAGCAGTGTCCTTATATGCAATATAAAGGGTAAATGCTATGGAAATCTTTACTGGAGAGCACTGACTTTCCTGCTTTAGTGTTTGGGGGGGGCGGGGGGGGCTCGTCTACTCTTGCACAGCAAAATGCGTGGACTAACATGCAGCAACTGGGTTTTTTCGTGGGTTTGTACAGAACCAGCATCATGGGACCCTGCTCTGGAGCTTCTGCATCCCGTCCTTCAAATAGCAATAGGGACCAGTGGAATCAAATGAAAGGGAGGTGTCTCACGCGCCACTGGCACGGAGCGTATCGGTTCCCTAAAGGTCTGTGGGGATTCAGGACACAGCCTTTCCCTGCTGCAGCTTCCCTGCTGGACATGGAAACTAGAAGCCTCTTTCCCTCCTCTCAAGTGTTAAGTCACAGTGGCAAGTGGGGGGAGATGCAGAAAGGCTGCACCAGTCAGAGCTGGGCTGCTGGCTTTTGTGGTGGGGAAGGCAAGGAGAGCTGCTCCCTCCACTGCACGCCCACCGAGCAGGAAGACATGCAGAGAGTCGATTATTTTTAATTAACCCCCTTGCAAAATTCTCCTTGTCCAGAGCTCTGCTTCCAGCCTCCACCAGTGACCTTCCTGGGCCCTGCCACCTCAGCGATGCACATCATCATTCACACCATGCAATCTCTCCCCCAGCCCCCAAGATATTAAGTTTCTTCTCCTTTTCTCCTTGCCTCTCTCTCTCTCTCTCTCTCTCTCTCCCCACCACCCCCAAAGGAGCCTGTCTTCAGGTTTTGCACTGAATTCGAGGGGCTGCCAGAGCCATCCTCTCCTTCACACCAGCCTGTCCGCATCGTGCGCGGTCCTTGAGCTCTGCTCAAGCAACCCTGCTGCAAAGGCAGGAGACCTTGCTGTCCCTTTGCTACTTAACGCAGCTATATCAAAGCGGTAAAACCACAGTAACACCAGTCCTCGGCATCATAAGAAGAAACAGAAATCGTCCCCCCCCCTTGCCGGCTCTCTCCTGGTGGTTTTAAATAACTTTTGTGGGGTTTTCTGTTTTTTTGTTTGTTTTTTTTGTTTTGTTTTGTTTTTTTGAGAGGAGGGGGGAGAGCACGTACTTAGCATCGGCACCCTCTCCCCCCCCCATGCCACCTCCTGCCTGCCTCTCCTTCCCCTCTGCCGCGCTCTTAAAAACTTGGGCCGAGGGCGGGCGCGGGGAGCCGCGCTTGGCCCCCGGAGCGCCCCGGGCGGCGGCGGGGCCCCGGCGCTGCCCAGTCCCCACGGCGGCACCCCCGAAACGGCACCCCCAAACCCCTTCCCCTGCACCCGCCTGCGGCCCGGCCACCCCCGCAGGGGCAGAGCGGGAGGGCTGCGGGCTGCCGGGGCGGGGGGGGGGGGGGGGGGCGGAGTGAAGAAGGGGAAAAAAATGCGGCGTGGGCGATAACCACACACACACGCCCCCCCCCCCCCCCCACACACACACCCACCACACCCCCCCCCCCGCCTCAGCTCCCAAAGTTCCCGCGACCCCGCCGGTTTGCCTCCCGGAGCTGAGTTGTAACCCCGCCTGGGACAGCGGCAGCCGGTTACCTGAGGCGCGGGCCGGGGCCGGGGCCGGGGCCGGGGCCGCGCTGCGGGGCGGCCGCGCCTCCGCCTCCCCTGCGGCGGGGCCGGGGCCGGGGCCGGGGCCGGGGCCGGGGCCGGGGCCGGGGCCGGGGCCGGGCTCGGTTGGCAAGGCGCTGCCCGCCCTGCTCCCCCCGCCAATGTCAAGGGGGACTCGGGCTATGCGGGCATCTCCCGAGGAGCCCGCTTCCCGCAGCGGGCGGGATCGGTATATTTAGCATCGCGCCGCTTTTTTTTTTTTTTTTTTTTTTTCCTCCCCCAAAGTTTCGCCCACTTATTTATTTATTTGCCTGCGTGCGCCGCGCTGCCGCAGAGCAGTAAGAGCCGCTCCGCGCCGTGCCTAGCGCTGGAAGCGGCTCTGTATTGCAGCAGGTAGGGCTGAGCGCTAGGACCTCGGAGAATCCTTCCAGCAGCAATCAGGACTACCTTAAACCCAGCCCAATGCCTCTTCCTGCGCCACTCTGCGTGCTGGATGGAGATCCACAGTCAAGAGCTGCAGCTCAGTGCTGGAGTACAACATTTCACAGGGAGCCCTGCAGAAGCAACACCTGTTTCGAGCCAGCCAAGAACGACACAAGCACTTGTGTGTTGCTGCTTTGCTTGTGGATCGTCAATAATCCTAAACCAGTGGACATCTGCTGAGCCTCCTGAGAATTCTGGATAATAGATTTGGACGTCAAAAGTTTTTTTTTCTTTTTTCTTTTTTCCTTTTTTTTTTTTTTTTTTTTTTGGATTTATCTCAGCCAACAACGTGAGATTTCCCCCCTCCCCCTTTGCGGGATTCATGCTGATGTATGCAGTCTGTTATAGAGTAAAAACAGCGCATGCCTTTCTGGAGTCAGAATCCATAAATCCTGACGTAGCCTGTGCATCTTAAAAAAAAAAAAAATCC